CGCTAAGCCGCGCAGGGGACAAGACATTGTTCTGCGAATGCAAAGTCAAAAAAGTCTCTCCTGGGCATGGGGGACTGTCAAATCCCCCGGGCAGAGTGCCCACCCAACGTTTTGTTGGGAGCAAGGGAGTGAGTAACGAGTATAAGTCACTTTGAAACTAAAGCAGAGACTCTCTGTCTCTCTGTCTCTCTGTCGCTGTCTCTCTGTCTCTGTCTGTCTGTCTCTGTCTGTCTGTCGCTGTCTCTCTGTCTCTGTCTGTCTGTCTCTGGCTGTGTCTGTCTGTCTGTCTGTCTCTGTCTGTGTCTGTCTGTCTGTCTGTCTTTCTGTCTGTTTTTCTGTCTGTCTTTCTGTATGTCTGTATGTCTGTCTGTCTGCGTGCCCATTTGTACATACATATTTTAATTCTGCATATGCACGTATACATGCACGACATACTTTCAGGCTTGGACGTAGGCATTTGTGTACGTAAGCATACATGCATCTAAAATGCCTTTTCATGTACAGGCGGACATGCAATAGCAAAAGTATGTGCAGCTATGCACATGAATCTGGTGCTACTGTGAGAAGGAGAGCACAACATTTTAGGGGAGCAACGAGCAAAGTTCTGCAAGGACAGGTTATTGCTAACAGAAATCCTTCTGTGTCTGCCTTCAGGAAGGCACCACTCCTCGCGCAAAGGCTTCTGCGGCTCCTCGTCTGTGGACGGTTCTCTTATAGCTTGAATGATGATTTCCAGCATCCTGACATGTTGCCAGATAGCTTCTCCTGATTCGCAGGGCTAAGACAATGAAATTCTGCCATCTCACAAGCGATGTCTTGGTCAATTGGAAACTGTTAAAAGCTGAATCAGCGTGAACCTGCAGTTGTCATGGATGTATCTCGTCCATGTCTACCCGTACATGACATTACCAGGGTCCTCCACTCTGGGTCTTCCAAAGCAGCAGCACATGCTAGCTTAGAGCCAACAAATAGTGAAACCTGCGGGATGCCATATCCTCACTCTCCCAACAAGAATACAGCAATGCTTGCGGATGGCCCAATGCAGCCTTCTGCAACCCAGCCCCAATTAGGTGACTCCACCAAATCTCCAAAAAGCAAATCCCGTCTGAGTGCGAGCGCCGATGGCGATTCCACAGAATCCTGAGGCCTGGCTTGGCACAGCCATGCTCCTCACGAGCCACCCGACATCCATTCTCGTCAAACTGAGGTGGCGGCGTTGGCCAGGCAGATCCTGCCTTGTTCTGACCTGGGCGACGGGAGAACTGGGCATGAGTGGATGACGGCCCCTGTGTGATGTTGGTCGGTTCCAGGCTGGCTCGCTGGCTGCTTAGCGGATCCGATACAGTTGTGAAACCTGCTGAGGTGGACCTGTGCATCCTGATGCGTGCTGTGCTCTGGCTTCTATCCGTCCACTCCCATAAGCATGGGGTCTCCTTCCAGTTCCTGCGGCCAAACCTCGGTAGAGCTTTTGCTTTGACTCCTATAAAACTCAACAGGAAAATTAGTTCCTGCCACTGAGCCAACAGTTGCTTCCGCACGGCATGGCTGCAAGTGAAGCTTCCGCGAACCGTTCCGCAGACCGTTTTCCATTGCTTCTGCAAGAAGCCTCTACTTATATACGAGGCCTCAGCTGGAAATGCCTGCTGTATAAAGGACAAACTACAGGAGATAAAACGTTTGAGAAGTGTGAGCATGAAATTACGCCTCACTGCCGTGACGAATCTGCACCCGTGAAGCCAAACACCCACAACTTCCCGCACAAATCGCTGTTTGGCTGTCACATTTGGGTGGTACATGAGCTTCACCGTGTGAAGCTTTTTCTTGTTCGTTGCCAAGGGGTCTGTCGAAGATGTAAACGCCTACTGTTCCATTTTCGCTTGGAGCCCTTCTATGCTGCTATTTATTGGAAAGGGTAGCAGCCGCCGGAGTGGTAACAAGCAGTGCCCAAAATTGTACAGCCTGAGGCAGCTTGCGAAGACCTTCCGCAGGGACTTCCGCAAAGGCTTCGGCAAATCTCGAGTCAGAAAGCTTTCTGACAGAGGCATCGGCGTCGTAGAAAGTTCTGCTGCATCTGGGCTGTGACGTGCTCCAGCTCGATCTGTGCATGCTGCGAAGCTCCGACAAAACTCTGCAAAGTTAAAGAAACATCGAAAGGCTACTGCTTCCCGGTCAACGACTTACGAGCGCTAACTTCATCCCTGCATCCGCAACATGGAAGCCCTACAGAAAGGCCTCCCCGACAAAGAAGTCCAGAACGGACAGCTGCAGGAACACGCGCCGCCTAGGTCGCACGTGTCGGAAGACCTCTGCGAGAGAACCAGAAGAACAGATCCTTTCAAAAATCGACTCAAAAGCTAATGGCTTGACGACTGAACCATGTCAGTTACGACCTTCTCCCCCACCTGAGCTGGCGGCGTTAGGTGGTCATCCATATCCAAACCAGCAATTGCCAGCCTGAAGCATCACACAACATTACAATTCGTGGATTCCAACTTTGTGCTCTGCACCTCCTTTGGGGAAGAATTCACTTCGTTGCACGGCCTGGTCCATGCCGACACGATGTATGATGGGCTTAGAAGCATATCGGCCGATATCCAGTGCTTATCGACAGAAGTCGCGGACAAGACTGTGCTTGAAAAATACGCTAAATAACGATAGGAATAATGTTGCAGGGGGTGTTATGAAGAAGGGCTGTTATGAAGAAGGGCCCCCAAGATTGCGCTGGGTGCGAAGCAAAGTTTCCAGATGAAGGCGGCAAGCAGCAATGCACCTTGTCTGCACCAAACACAGATAAACACACATGCTTGGTACTTCACGGCTCAAGCCTGCAGGCCACTTCAACTGAGTTTGCAATCGAAGATGGGTTACTGCAGTACTGTACTGTACTTAACTAGCATGGACAAGTGGGGGACCGGCTGCGCTTCCTCCATAGAACCTCCCCTGCGGCTGTTATACCTCAAGGTCAGCAAGAGCAGCGCGGTGGAACTGGAATCGGTCACAAGGTTTTCAAGAGACCTGGCCGCACGACTCATCTCCAAGACGTACCGATGTATACACATACGAATGTCCACTATGTTCGCACGATTATGTAGCTGCTTGCTTGGCTGCTTTCTTCCGTCTGTGCTTTGGTAAGTGCTCAGCTCTTCATGTCACCTCTGTCCAGCAACTACGTCCTTTCATTTCGGTGCTGCAGGACTGCACGACTCTTACTGTAGTTCACAAAATGCTATGTATTGCATGCTGCCGATTGAAAAGTATACGCTGCGCGAAATGCAGTTCACAGTATATCGTGCTAACAGCACGTAATGTCGTATGATAGTGCTACAATGCTACGTGTTGCATACAAACAAAGCACAAAGGCCAAGACCCCCTGCAAACCACCGAGAAACAGAAAGAAGACAAAACGGGCGTGATCAGCGAACGGATGCGCATGTTCACGCACATACGCATGTGGCACATACACCTACACCCACATAAGCATACATATATTTGCGCACGCGCGCACACAGACACATGTTCACACAGACACACGGACACACACACTTAACAGAGCCCCAGACCTTTAGCGATAAACAGTCGCCGCATGCAGATTTTACACACTAAACCGCATGCACACCTATGGACACCTATGTGCGATAAGCACGTAAAGGAACAGCATTTGTTCAAACAGCCATCAACAAAATCAAACATGTTCCAACCTTGCAGACCTGAAACATATGTCTTTCGGCTAGGTCATTCCAAATATATGAACGCAACAGATGAAAAGCGTAGTTGTCGCAAAACACCGATGTTGAAACTATCACAGGTAAATCGCTGCTCTGTTCCCACTTTCACAACAACGGGCTTGACATAGGAACTTGTCCTGCGCGGTCTATGTTTCAACTGCATCAAGACCAGCCGCTAGCCGGATGCACGTGTCTCCGGATGCATGCACGTACACTGTGCACCTGTCTCGGACTCAGGCAGTGCAACAAAAGCCAGGAAGTGCCGACGAACATAGTGCCTTCAGCTGCTCAGTTTCATCATTGAAATACTTTGGCAAGAGATGTTGGCGCAGTGCTGAGGCTCAACAGATCAAACAATGAGAAAACGACACTTGTGGCGCAATCGAATCGCGAACACTGAAATCGCACCAGTTTTGCTGAGGCTGGCACTCCAGAACGCTGTATTTCCGGGCATAGACGGAGTTAGACACCATCGGTGCCGAGAACAGGGCCCGTTCACAAGACCTGATGGAAGCTTTTGAAGCTCCGAAACACAATGTAAAAGTCAGAAGCAAATCAGGGTACCCATAGTTTTGGGGTTCTTCTAGTTTCGGATCGGACGCCGAGGGGCTCGCATCAGAGTGGAATCGGCGAGGCGGGAGTCAGTTTCGGGACGCGGGTCTGTCAGCTTCGGGGGGCGAGCTGGGCAGTTTCAGTCCGACTCCTCTGAAACTGATCATGGCGCGAGACTGAAACCTGACCATGCCCTGATCCGAAACTGTCCCGGACCATGTTTCGAAACTCCGCTCCGAAACTCAGCACCGAAACTACCCTCGAAAACCCTGAGACTCACAACTTCCAAGCAAAGCAGCAGTCATCGGGCGACGGTGACAGCCCTTGCAAGGTGAGTTTCTGGCACCACGCGCCGCATCAGGCTGGCACTGGCCGTGGCACCGCCAAGCCTCGGACAGGTCATGGGATTCCGTCGGGATGTCGGGCGTTAAAGGCTTCACAGGCTTGCTTGAAGTCTTGAAGGGGCATCTCCAAGGCTCAGAGGGTGCGAGGAATGGGCCGGCTCCCCATCGAAACCATGCATGGCTTTGGGACTTTGGCTTGGATACAATTGCTTTGACTACTCTTGCTTTCAGCCAAACTTGACAAGAAAGGCACTAGCTTGAAGTCGTCTTGCTCCAAGTGCAGAACTTGCATATGAGACCCGACGGCGGCAGGAAAAGAAATTGAAACCTCAAAAAGCGAGCAGGTGAGCTGCGAGCTTTTAGGGCATCCAGCCTTTCGGCTCTCACATGCGACACATGTAAACAACGCCAGAACAACCAGTGCTGCTAAGTTCATCTCATTGGACATGAAGTACAGACGCACCCGTCTAACGCCCAGGCCACTCCAACAGCTTCTGAAGCATAGCCTGGTCGGGGCAGCAGGATATGATCCAGCTTGCTACGAAGACCTGTCCTTTTAGGGACATCCCAAACGCTCGAGGTGCCGGGCCGGCGCGGGCCTCTGAGCCCGCGAGCGCTCGTGCGGCTTCCGGCGCCTCAGCGACAGCGGCACAGGAGAATTCAAAACACGCATGCTGCTGCAATCTGATGAGCTGAGATGAGCTGAGTGTGCAGCAGAGTCGCCTGCCCTGGACATGCTAAGAGGCGCATTGACATGCTTTGGGTAGAAAAACGATATCATATCAAGGCCCAACAAACATCCGCGCCTGGAGTTGCCACACTCCTGGCTTGGGCGATACAAACCTACTCGGCTTCGATTCATGCCCGTTCCTTCGAAACACGACCCGGCAGAGAGGCAGCTGCTTGTTTTTGCAGGGATTCAACTGCGGGCGTCATGCCTCATCCTTCCCAGCCACCGGCACATGTCCAGTGCTCACATCCTATGCCAGTCCTGCAAGCTGTCGGATCGTTTCTTGGTGCAGCCTGCTGTAAAGCACATGGGAGTCGAATTTCTCGTATGTATCAAACTTTCGCTTGCACAGCCAGCACACAAAGAAGCCCTGCTTCGCCCTCTCCCCACGCTTCTCACCGAGTGCAGGTGGGCTTGCCGACTTCGTGCTGGACATCTTCTGGTCGAAGGAGGCGCGCCGTGTGATTTGTGCCTCCGCCTGGTCGAAGGAGGCACGCCGGGTGACGGGTGGAGTCTTATCCTTCTCGCCAGGCAGCCCTGCAACGGGTGTAGTGATCGAGCCGTCGTGTCGGGGATCCAGAGTCCGTGAAGTCCTTGCGTCCTTGGGCACGAAGGCTGTCGCTTCTTCCATTCGGAAAGCATTACTGACAGAGACCGGTCGCTTGGTCCCACGTGACATGGCCCTGGAGATCTGATTCGCAAAGTTCCATTTCCTTACACTCCAGTATACCTCCTTGAGCCCAGATGCCCAGAGATATAATCGTCCATCAAGGTCAACATGCTGAGGCTCTGTGACCGTGCTATGCTTCTGCTGGTGCCGTTGTTGCCACCGTGTTTGACCCTTGCAAAGCGGAATTCCGCTCCGCTACCAGTGCGAGAACGCACCGGCAACGGCAATGACTTTTGCACTCGCCTAAGCCGTCCGGTGTTGCGATGTGCGATGAAGTCAAGCAGTTGGCATGTGCATGCTTTCACATCTGATGAATAATCTGACTTCCGAGCGAGAACGGCGACACAGCGTGCCGACACACCCATTGTAAACAAAGGCCACCAGAGAGCTTTGACACCTTTGGCAAAGCCATTTCCTGAAGCAAGCCGGCCCCATGTTGCTGCGGGCCTGAGTGTATGATCAAGTGATTGAATTTCACCGCCCCAAGGTTCAGTCAGGGTTCCTTCGTTTACGGTACAGGTTTATTTACAGCTGTCAAAAAACACGAAATAGATCCTGAGTCTTCTGTCAAGGAGTGTCGGTAAGTAGTGACCCGAAACAAAAGCCGGTGGTTTATACAGAGTCCCCAGGTTGTACCTGTCCAACCCACGGCAGGCCTTGCACTCTGTGAGGGCTTTGGCAAAGTCCAGCAGAGCCTTCCAAGCTCGAAAACGTGGACACTGTCATGAATTGCGGCCTGGAGATCTCCCATACTACTCTATGCAAACAACATGCCGGACATGCAGGGCTTTGGGCTTCGACCAGCCTCCACGAAGGACAACGTGCAGCACTGCAAAGTCTCCAAACCTCGTGAGAAAGCTCGCAAAGCATCTCACGGTTTCCTGCGGCTGGATTCTGGCTAAAGGCTCTGTAAGCATGTGGCGCAGCCTCTGCTACCCAGAACACTTTTCTTGGATGTCGCAGCAAGGGCAAAACTTTCGAAGCAAGGAGACCATTATGGTCATCGTAAAGATCGGCTTTGCAGTAGGCGTGGCTTGTGCGCAGAAGCGCTGGTGCTGCTCCAGTGCTCGGCGCTCGTTGAAAGACCTGCCGCAGGCACAGCTGAGCGGCAAGTCCACGAAGGGCCTTAAGGCTTCTAGGTGGGCGGCGGCGGAGCTTCCAAGAGGCATAGACATGCCACAAATCTCGCAAGTTCTGAAGCCAAGGCCAAAGCCGTGGCTTCTGCCTCTGGACTTGGGATGTCGCGTTCGGCCACTAGAGCTGTGGGCTGCCAGCCTGTGCTGGGTCAATGCCTCCGAGTCCCGAAAAGCTCTGCCGCAGCTCTCGCACTGGAGCGACTCGGAGCGATCTGCATATTTCAGAAGCTCGTGGACCTGACGCACGTGCGTCTTTAAACCCTGTGCACTGGAGAAGGCCTTGCCACACTCTGCACATTCGATAGTCTGAGATTCTTCGAGTCTAGCAGGCTTGCGCGACAAAGAGGCTTCCATCGCATCGAACACGGCGACATCGCCCTGGCCCGCCACATCCCTGCGCAAATGGTACAGCCGACTTCGCACTGGCGCTCTTGCTGTTTTCTGTACATGCAAGCTTTGGAAAGACTTTCCAGTGCTGTTCCTCTTACATTCGTAGCCTGCGAAAGCCGTAAGCTCAAAGGGGCTCTCAGCAAGATCAAACCTTTGTGCCTGCGCATGTTTAAGAAGTTGCCACCTCCTCTCTTGACCCTCCAACAGAGCGAGTACAACGATCCCGTTAGGTCGCAGAGATTTGGCTGCTCCGTCCAGAAAATGTGCCAACAGGCATCCATGCAGCTTCAGATCCTCTGTACCAAGATGTGGATGGTTCCAAGCCACGACGTCCCATTTCCTGTGCCAGCTTTCGAGCTGCAAGGCATCCACAGCAAATCGCACTTCTGCTGCTTCTCCGAATGCGCGAATCCTCGACAGAATGCCAACTGTTTCCGGGTACTTGTCCACAAGCTCCTCGCTTCTCCCACAACCCCTAGATCCCCTAGCCTTCGAGAGAAACTTGTGTTCAAAAGTCTTGCTTGCAGCCAAAGCTCGGCATAGCTCTCGTAGCAGGTTGCAGTGAGCCGTAAGTTTCGGCATGCTTCTGGCGGCAGCTGCAGGTAGGCCGAGGCCACCCGCAGCCTCTCCTGGTAAGTCCGCTCGGCTTCTTCTTCTTCGAACTCGTTCAGCTTCGGCGGAAAAAGCAAAGCCAACAAGGCTAGGGCAAAAGAAAAGTTGGCCTCGCCCAGCAGCAATACTTCAGGTCCTGAGCCTGCGTGGAGCACCGCCCTCTTCTTTCGCCTGGCCATGGCCTGTGCTTGCCTCTGCTCTTGATCTTCAGCAAGCCCCATGTCTGATAAGAGCGATGGATTTCGACAACTCTTTTATGTTCTACGGATGGTGTCCATACCGCTTGTGCCGGGTCCCCCGCTCAAGGGTTCGGCTTTCTCTTGAAGCAGCCTCTCCACCTCGGCCGCGAGATGCCGCGAGCTTGTCTTCTGGGTGCTAACCCTCGGCAAAAGCATTCGGGGCTGCTGCGATTTTGGGGAGGCTGTCCCAAAAACTCGAGACCTTCCAGGCCAAGCACGGCTTTGAAGCACAGCTCTAAGTCGAACTCTCAGCCACCTCTCTGGAAGACTGTTTGTTGCCATATCAGTCATCATGCCCTTTCGAGTTTGCAAGGATGCGCCCAAACGGAACAATGTGATTCTTTGGCGAACTTCTGCGTGAGTCTACTGTCTTCTGCATCCTGCGCAGGCGTGAGCCCCCAGACCTAAACCCCAAGCATCGCGATTCTCGGTCTTGATCTGCGGCTGCAACAAAGCCCGAAATCCTTCATGTCGACAGCGCCTTAGGCGCGGTTTTCGCGCCGGCCGCTCCTTGGAGAGACGGATCTTAGCTAGACCCAGAGGCCGGGCAAGTTGTGTTGGGTGCCCTGCGTACCGGCCCGGGCTGGTTCACCGGCCCCGAGCAAAGAGTGAACAGCCCGCTCGAGGGCCGGCTTGGCGCCTATCCGAGTCGCAACCGCACTCGCCCTTCCTTCCTTCCTTCCTCGATACAATCCAAAGGACCGTCACAAGTCTCTGCGCCTCGGCAGAGGATTCTGCTTGCGAGCGTGAGCTTGGCATCTTGAAAGCTCGAGCCGAGGGTAGACTCAGCCTGCAAGCGTCGAGTTTGGATTGGACTGTGCTAAAGCAAGTTCTGTCTCCCCTATTCTGCAGATGGCTTCGCAAGGACTCTCAAGTGTTCAATTGTTGACCATGTTCTGGTGAGAGACCTGGGCCGCCTCAGGACTGCCCTCACCGCTTTGAGTGCTGGGACCCATTGTTTTAAACAGTCCTTTTGGGATCTCTGTGTCGCTTTCTGCTCGTTTAAGTGCGAGGTCGGCTCACTACACATTTTTGAAGTTTGCGACTTTCTGTTTCGTTTGGGTTTGAGGGTTTGCCTCATCGCACTCCCTTCAAAGGTGTACAATGTACCGAATCACCGCACACGTAAGCTTGCTGCTTTGCTACTTGACATTCCATGTCTACGAACCTGGCCACGAAGGTCAAAAACATGAGAAGCAAGCAAAGGGGCCCAACGATGCATCAACACACAAGTTGACTAGGCTAACTTCCACTTGCAAAGTCATCCACAAGATCACGGCAGGCTTTGACTGGCCGAGCAAAGCCCAAAGCTAAGGACGTCAAGGTCTGCAGGTCTGCCAATACAGCTGAAGCATGAAGAACGGATGCTTTCCGACAACCGGCTGAGTCTGAATCTGCCTCCCATCTAATATAGGACGAAGAGCATGGACGCCCGCTGCCCTAGCGGACACGGGAAGTCGAGCAACATCACCATAAGCAAGTGGCCCAGCTGGCAGCCAATGCCACCTTCAGGGAATTGCAGACTGAGGTCAGAGGCATGCAGCGCGCTGCGGCTGCTCACAGCAACGCCCCGATGCCCCCAAGATATACCCACATATCCGCCAGAGCCAAACTGGCAACAGCGAACGAAGCCGCTGCTGAAACTGAATAACTGCCCAAGCCTTGCCTGCCACATGCACGAAATCACCCGGTGCACAGTCACACGAACTCATTGCTCATGTGACTCATGTGTGCTCGAATACAGAGAAAAGTCCAGCGATTAAACACACGGAAAGACCGCGCCTGAGCGCACAGCCCCTCGGAGCAGGACTCCTACGAGCCTTAGATGACAAGCAGCAGACATCCGAGATGAGGGCGCTAAAGAAACTGCTTAAGAATCTCGGTGGGGTGAGGGGGCAGCCATGATGATGATTTCGGAGTACCGCCGAATTCATGACCAGGGCGGGTTCAGTACGAGCACCCACGACACCACTAGGGGAGGGGAGGGGAGAGGTGTTTACTGAAATCCTAGACGCCCCCTGGCGGTCAGGACCTACGGTCATGTCATGTACCTGCAGCAATGGCATAACGGCATAACACTTGCATGTATGCGCCGTAACTGTGTTGTCCGCGTGCCGGGGCAAGCCTTTAGATCCTCAGGGATCATACGTACCTGCGCCCATATCCTTCCACCGAAGGGGGGATTCTTGGGGGCAGTTTTCTGGTAGCGGAGCCTGTGTTG